GGGCGGGCCCTGCGGCGCCGCCATACCTAGCCCAGGGCCGCGCGAGACACAAGGGAAAAAAAAAACACCAAACAACCAAGTTTTGCTGTTGGACAGGCTCTTGCTGCACCTTTAGTTATTGGCATTGAGTGCTGCGCACAACAGCCCGCTGCTTAGGTCTGTTGCTGCCCAGTTCATGATACATAGCTCTACATCATTTCCCAATGTTTACAAAACAGGACTGGGGTCAAAAGGAAGAAGAAAGATGAGAAAGACAGGATTTTTAGCAGATGACACCCATCCAGTATTTCCCATGATGTATTTTTATATTTTAAGCCATTCAGTGCCTCTGCACTAGGTTTTAAAGGGACACAGTCTCTTTTCTAGGAGGCCCTGGACCAGTCTCTCACACCAGCTCATTCCAAATCATTACATTCTATTAGTTCTCTTTCCAATTGATCTGCTCTTTGCTGGCCTTCTACCCTCTGCCTCGTTTTCTTGCCAGGCTCCTGCAAGTCCTCCCAATATCCAACCCTGCTTGTTTTAGTTCTCCCTTCAAAACAATTGCCAAAGGCATTCTGCTATGCAAATGAGCCATTTCATTCTCCTGCTTAAAACATTTTCAAAAAAAAAAAAAAAATTCATGGCGCACCATCACAGACAGCAGAGGCTGGGAGATGTGGAGATGAGCAAAAAGGCATGTTTCAGGAAGTAGGAGTGATGTAGCATGGAGGCTACATGCACATTCAAGGAAGCATATGGTTACTTCTCTTGATGACTGCTGTTTGCAAGAAATGGAACTAATACGGCTTGATCACTTCATATTCATTGGCTAAATAAAACCTGTGCCCTATAGAAGAAGTTCCTGTATCCTGGCTCTGGCAGCAGAAGTCTTTTGTAACCTGTCTTTGTCATTCTACCCCATCTGCGTCCCCCACCCCTCCAGCTCTCCTACATGGCTCTTCCATCCTTTAGTCACACTAGTCAAGTCCGTAGAGGTCCTCTGTCATAACAGTGTTATACCTGCAAACCCAGCAACTGACCTCTGAGTGTTGCCCTCAGGGTTAGGCACAACGACTCACACAACTGAGGCCTCAATACAAGTTAACTGTCATCCATTCCTCCTCTGGGCTCTGAAGTGTAATTGCCTGCGGTTTTGCTTGGCTTTCTCAATATACTGAAAGCTCTTAAGACTTTCACTGCTGCTCCCCTCTAAGTCAATAATGCACGGGACACGGGACCGCTATGAAGAAGAGTCAGTAAACGCAGGCAAGCTGAACAAAAACCAGGAAGGAACCAGTGATTCATAAACACATGTCAACTTGTAAACATAAATGCAAGCGAGTCAGCAGAGACTGTGCGACTTACCAATATCTCATGCAGTAGCTGGAATGTATTCTTTAACTCATGGGGTGGAGCGGTTTCCAGCTGGTTCTGAAAACAATTTCGTGAAAGGATAAAGATTCTGGTAACTTCTCAGTGGAAAGCACAATTCTGGAATCAAGTTCAGTTCTACCACTGTTTGTCTGTCACAGTCTGTCAACTCCTCTCAGGGCCTCAGTTTCCCCAGATCCTTAGCCAGGAGCAAGTAAGCCTCGGAGGCTCTTTCAGTTCAGTACTCCACGTTATGTTATTAGGAATGCGAGGAAGAAAGGGAGCATTCTGAGTCACTAACAACCAGAGTCTCACACAGCTCCAGCCACACTCGACTCTTCTTTCTAAGGGATGCCGGCAGCAAAGAAATTGAAGAGGGAAAACTCTCAGGTAAGCTTTGAGTGAATATATTAAAAAGTCAGCTTATGAAAGAAAAATCTGCTAAGATACACTAAGAAAACAAGGTTTATAAAATCCCTTTCTGCATTTTAAAACTGATTTTTACTTATGTGTATGTATGCACATATGTGTGTGGGTGTCCACAGAGGCTAGAAGAGGGCACTGAAAATTCCATGGAGCTGGAGTACAGGCAGCGGTAAACCGCCTGGTGTAGGTGCTGGGGACTCATCTCTGGTCCTACTCCAGCCTGTGCATAAGTACGTTGGAAAGAATACTGCAGTTTATCAACACACTGCCAAGGCGGCAGGGATGGCACTTATGAAACACTTTGCCTAATGTTGCACGAATCACAACTTTGAAGTCCAGCTCTATGTCTTCCTGTTTTGTAGAGGGAAGCTGCTTGGGTTCATAGTCACAGAGTGAGTAAGCAGACGAGAGGATGAGGACCGAACACCTTTTACTAAGAGCCACAGACACACCTCACTAAGTACCTGCTACTTGTTAGCACCAGGCATATCTATCTCTATTACCAACAGGAGTATGAAATTCTACTACACAAAAGAACTTCTGTGGGTAGGAACTAGTCCATCAGTGTGAATTTCATACAAAGACCTGAAAGGAAACATGCCTGTGTGACAAGATTGTTCCTCGGGGCAGAGTGGGAAGTGGACTATGGATGACCAGAAGTACATGCCAAAGTAGACTTCGGCCTTATTTGTGTACTTGTGTTTTTTCACTCAGAGAATAAAAACCGTGTAAGTATGTAAAGATTTAAAAACTAGTAAAATGACATGCATACTTACACACTTTTCTAGTAACACCTAGAAAGGCAGTGAGCAACGTGGTAAGACACAGTCCACAGCCAAGGTCAGTCCCAAAGCCCTACTCTATCACTGGCTAGCTGTATGACCCTCCTTACTCTGCCTCAGTTTCAATTACTGGAAACCACATCGGGGATTTCATGGACTATTTGAGAAGTAAGTGAGTTAAATGTAGTACATTTGACATAGTTTTTGTGTTTAGTAGGTGCAGTGGGTGAGGTAGTGATTACTGTATTGATCAGTGCTTTTTAATTAATTATATCACTGTTCTAGAAGACATGAAACCCTATTTTTTATTTTTAAGACACTGCAGGTAAAAATAATTACAGCTGTGAGACAATTTCACCCACTAATGATCATCAGAACATTAATTTATTAAAGTATTATCCTGAACTAGTTAAAAATTGAACCACATGCAAATGCTTACCACCAGGCAAAGGGCTAAGTGAATTACGGTACACGAAGGAATGAAATATGGGAAATTACATGACCAAATGAAAGAAGACAGAATTATAAAGTCAATAAGCTCTCAAGTATATTAAAATACAAAGACAAAATAAAAAGATACAACAGAGCATAAATTAAAAGAATGCTCTGGTGGTCATCACTAAATAGTGGAGTTATGAATTCTTTTCTTAATTCTGTAAAGAGAAACAATACTGTTTTTACAATTAGGAAAAATGAGCAAGACCACGCTCTCCTAGGGTCTCCGCAGAGTGCAGGCTACAGCAGGTATGGCGAGGGTAACGAAGTGTACCTTAATGAAGTGCAGCATCGTGAAGGAAAAGTGCTCATTACAGAAACAGCAGTAGACCACCATCTCCATGAGTGCCAGCAGGGAGCCGGTCAGCTCCCGCAGAGCAAACATGACCTGGTGGGAGACACAAAGGAGTCAGCAGTCAGCTCTGTTCCTGCTTTCCCCGAATTCTCAGAGGTTAAGAACAATGACATTGCCCTAGAACATGGTTTCTTGTTTGAGGTCTAAGGACGATTCCAGCGTGTCTGTACTAACACGCACTTTTTCTCCCCAAGGAGTCACCGTCATCAATTTTCAAATGCAAGCATTCTCATGAGAGGTTAAAATAATGACTAATGATAGGAAAATAAAATTAAACAAGAAAAGATTGAAAAAATTCCTATGATATGTTATTCTTATCTCCATGTCAAATCAGATTATGGAAGTCAGAATTCACAGGAAGGTAGCCCTGGGTAGAAGGAGAGTTGGCTGAGAAGACATACGACATATGCCCTGTGCAGGTATGGGGACAGCCCACATCCACACTACTAAGGTTCACATACACATACTTGTAGGCTGCAGTGTTTTAGGACCAGGGACAAACAGACTGGGGACAAAACCTTTTGATAATGAAGTTACTTTAGAGGTGAACTGTTATTCACCTTCTCCTGGGCCTTAGGGGTAGTTGGTGGGGCCGGAATGGAAGTCTAGTTCTTGGACGAAGGTAAGATGCTTAGGGCCCACGTAACACATTTAACCATCCATCCACGCAGTGCTGGACACGGAATATGCTGGGCAAGTGCTCTACCATTCAGTCATGCCTTATCTCTAATGTTTTTGAAATGTAAAAAAGAATAAGCATTTCTTCTTTTAACAGTATTTCCTTTCACCAGAGTAACTTGAAAAACATATCAACAAAAGGATTTTGCTCAAATAGGAGAAAAGAACATAAGCAAATGTCTTCAGCACAGCAATTACATACCTCTAACAGGTAAGGTTTGCCTTCAGACAAGAACAATAAGGCTTCTACTTCCTCGTGGAGGGGCAGCAGAGGGCTTGAGGGAGCAACACTAATAGGTGGCCGTTGTTTAAATATGCCAGGAGCTTTAGGAGACCCAAGAAACAAAAAGAAACATAAAGCACAACTTGTCTCACTCGGAAATGTCCCACGAAACACACGTCCAAAGAGTGAAACTCTCAGGTTTGCACACACAATTGCTGAGTTCTTACAACTCAGTCCTTCAGTCTACTGGACCAAGAGCTATGCAGACAATCCTACTTTTTCTCAGATTTGCCTCAGCTATAGCTTTGACCAGCTATGCTAATGCAGACTCAAGCCGCACCAAAGGGCTGGTTCTAGGAAAATGAGGATGCACACACACTCTTACTTTCTTTTGTAAAACTGTTTGAACTCACACAATTAGCAGACTTTTGTCTTTTGAGATGAATGAGTCAGATGTAGGAAGCAAACTACTCACAACCATGTGTCATAGTTAGCTTTAGCCGTCAACCTGACACAAACCAAGGGTCACAAAAGAAGGAAGCTCAACAGAAGAATTGCCCAGATGAGACTGGCCTGTGGGGCATTTTCTTCACTGCTAACCTGTCTAGGAGGGCCCATCCCACAGTAGGCAGTACCATCTCGAGGGAGGTAGATGGCCCTGGGTTGGATGAGAGAGGTGGCTGAGCAAGTGGAAGGGGCAAAGCAGGAAGTGGCATTCCTCTGTTGTTTCTGCTTCAACTCCTGCCTTGGCAACCCCTGATGATGGACTATAACCTGTAAGCCACATAAACTCTTTCCCCACTAAGTCGCTTTAAGTCACAGTGCTTACCACAGCAACAGAGCAAACCAGAACTCCATTCATGTGCTTGCCCTTCAATGCCCCTTTATATGGTTTTGAAGTATCATTCGGCTAGAATGATGCACTCTGGGATTTGTCTTGTTTCCTGTCTTTAGATTTTACTATCCACATTACCACCACACTTGGAGCTCTATCACTGCTGTGAACTTGTGTCTTTAAGCTTTCTCATCTACAGAAGGGGATAGCGCCTCTCCAGTTTCCGTGGGAACGAACAGAGTAAATACAAGCACCATGTCAAAGTAGTGGACACAGAGAACACTCACATAGAGAGCTAGCTGCTTTGTGGTACTACTGTGGGATGGTCAGGACAAAGCCCATGACCAGTACACAGGCACAGCACATGTGTGTGACTAGGATACAGAAGTGTAGTTGTGACTCTTCTACTGGTGGGGACAAAATAGAAAATGCTACTGTTTCTAACCTGTATTAAAAAAAATCTCCCTACTTTACATCTGAACCTCCTTTTCTTTCACAAAGAACTTTGGTATCTTATCTAATTAATCCTTACTATACCTAGAAAGTTATTTTTTTTTAATATTTTCATTTTGTATGAAGGGCCATAAAGGCCAGGTGGCTTAGCTAAGTTCACAGAACTCAGAGACAACAGCTCATACCTTGGCTATTTTTCCTACAACATCAGTTGCTCACACTATGGTGATGAATGAACTCTGAATTAATCTTTAATCTAGAGCACTTTAAAATAAACTTTTCCGCCGGGCGGTGGTGGCGCACGCCTTTAATCCCAGCACTCGGGAGGCAGAGCCAGGCGGATCTCTGTGAGTTCGAGGCCAGCCTGGACTACCAAGTGAGTTCCAGGAAAGGCGCAAAGCTACACAGAGAAACCCTGTCTCGAAAAACAAACAAAAAAAAAAAAAAAAAAAAAAGAAAAAAAGAAACTTTTCCTTTCCTGCATCAAATCAATGATTAATTTATCTTCTCTTGTTACTGATAAACTAATTAAATAAGGTGAGGTTGAGCATTAATTAAAACAAAAACTTTAAGTGCTCCTCAAATATCAGATAGTCTGTTGAGAAACAAACATTATTCATTCAGTTCCTAAGATCAGTACTTCTCTTCATGCTTCTGATGTATGGTCAAACTTACCAACATTCCTCTGGGAAGAGACATCTGTGTGCAAGACCAGCAATGCGACAGTGTTGTGGAGATTCCCAAATTCCCGTGCTTGTGCTGAACTCCACCGGCGTATCTATCGTTAGAGAAGATTAAAGCATGCCACCATTCTGTGTGGGGAAAGGATCTGCTAGCTGGTAATTTACTGAACCATGGTATCTCTCGATGCCCACAGTAGAGAAGAGGTGAACATATAAAAAGTCACTGTCTAATAAATGAGTCTCAAAGGGTTTGCCTCCCTGAAAAACATTAACTCAGATTCTAAAATCAACCCATTCAAAGTATGTAGTTTAGGCTGGGTACGTTCATGACATGCCAGGTAATTTTCCAGAGACTCAGTGTAATGGGAAAACCCATGAAGCTGGAGGATAGGAGGCCTGGCCATGTGGCAGCCCCTATTGTGTTGTATAAGTGGGCACGTTCTCCGTAACAACGCTTCACGTAATGGCAAAGATAATGCTAGCTGCTCTGGCCACTTTGTGGTTTTGAGGACCAAGTGAAATATAAGGATGAAAGCACTACAAAACTAGTGTATTCTACAGATGCAAGACAATGTCAAGTGCATGTGCAGGTCAAGTACAGTGAACTCGAGCCAATCATCAGTCCCTGGGATGGGTCTGGATGAAAGAGAAGTACTGCAGATATCAATAGTCAACAGCCACAGCACACTATGGTATCAGGACTTGCTTTTAACTACTTAAGTGTAACAGCAGCTAGGTGATGTGACAGGGAGCTGGGAGAAGCTTAGGAGCTTAGGTGGCAAGTCTGCCCATGCACAGCACAGCACACAATAAAAAACCTCAGACTCCAAAATCCTTAGAGCTGGGCAGATTCCTGTCTCACCAACACATGTGCATTGTGACCTTGCATAAATTACATGGCATAGTTGTGGTTAAATACTTGTCACAGAATGGGAGTAACACTGCCTACTCTACTGAGTTGCATGTATCCAAACTACCACCACGGTCCACAAGAAGTACTCTATTATTACTGGATTCTAGCATTTTATGTATTTAAAAATCTACCAAACAAAAGAAATATATGGATGGGAAAAACAGAGCTATATGGGAACTTCTAACAGGTCATATATGGACACATCCAACCACATATATAGTATGTTCTGGGAACTAACATGTTTCTAGCATTTGACTGAGAGTATCACACTGCAGTATAATTCAGTTTTTAACAGTCCAGCTTCACAGATGGATTCCAACTACCCTCAAAACATTCACTGCCCTAGGGAAGGAAGGGGAGAGTTCCAAGGCCATTAATTTAATTTCTTTTCCTATTGAACCTCCTTTTACTAATCTCCAAAGACCTTTAAGGTCTTCATAGTACTACTACCCAGAACTAAATGAAGTTAAAACATTTACCACCCACAAAAGAAACAAAATGAAACCCAACAGCATCTCACTGAGAAGAGGACAACAGTCCTTACCTGACTGTTCTGTCGATTGACTCCAAGGAGAAAGCTGATCATGTGTCGCAGTGCTGAGTGCCGCAGAAGAAGATCTCCAGCCCTAATACCTTGCTGTCACAAGGCAGGAGAATGACAGATTATACTCTCAGCCAGATAACAGTTGTTTTAAAAACACAGTCAGATGAGACATTTCAAGACACCCCTATGGTAAGTGCTGTAACTTCTGTGCAGTGAATGCCTGTCTGGAGCCTTACATTGCATCCTGTAGGAACCCCCGACGCTGCCCTCCACGGCTGCCGCAACTGTACCTACTTGTGTAGTAATTCTGGCAAGTCAAATAATCCATTCACTTGGATTTAATTAGAAACACTCACGAAACCACAACATAGAATGGAATCTAATATTTTTCCATGTATGAATTATTTTTAGATTATAAACCTACCTACTGCATTAGGAAATACATTAGAAAACAATAATTTACCTTTTGTACAAAAGTGTTGAACAGGGAAAAGTACTGAGCACAATTTTTACAATTTTCTGGGACATCTTTATCCAAAAGAGCAAGCAGGACTTCCAATAACTGATGAAGGCTTTTTAACTGGCAAGAGGAAAGAGGAAATTATATATATACATAAAAAGAAGACAAGACAGACTCTTGTCACAGGCTTACTTTGAAATAAACCACCATAAGAACAAAGGGAAATTAATATAATCCAGTCTCAGATTTAGATGGATTTATGCTTTGGAGAGCAAACCAGAATTATCGTTTTTACCTTCCAGAGCAGTGTCAGTACTGTAGGAGAACTAAAGAGAGGCTATTTTATTTCCCAGGTACCAGAGTCACGATTCTACTGGCCCAGTTGTCACGTTTTCAACAGAGCTATTTCTGTCTTACAGAGAGGTGGGTACCAAGGGGAGATGGATTTCTGAATCCCTCCCTCCACGAGGCTGCTTCTCCACAGCCACAGATGCAGAGTAAAAGACAGACACAGGCAGAAGGGCCAGAAACCAAGCCGATGGAGCAAATGGAGAGCAACAGCCTGACAGAGGACACGGTAATACCGACTTGACCAGGAACTTACTTGAAAGCCCGCTGCCGCCTCATGGAAAGCTTTGAAAAACATTTTATTTGTTTAGAAACCATTTTGGTATGACATTGCTTCTGCTTTCCCTCCCACCCCAAAGGTTTCTGGACAACTTCCTGGAAATTCATCTATTATTCAAGCATTAAGAGCAGGCTCACTACTCTTCTAGCCCTCTGAAGATGGTATTCATAGACTTATGGAATACCCCATCCATCCTGTCACACCCATTGTAAATACAAGCTAGCACTTACATAGCACTTCATTTTCAAAGTACTTTACAGTATAGATACAGTGGGTGGCAAGCGGTGTCATTTCCATCATGGGGAAAACAAACACAAAAATACATCAGTGGGCTAGCAAATAGAACTGACTTCAGGAAGTGGCTCCCATGCTTAGACCCTCTACTCCTTTCTCTTCCACTACCTGCTCTTCTGCCTTTAAAAGGTTGGTGATGTTCTATGGCCTAACTCTAAGGAGACTGACTGCACTAAATCTGCCTTTTGACTTTAGAGTAAACAGTGGAAGGAGAGCAAGAGAGTTCTTAGGTAGCATTCTTGAGACACCGTAGGCAACTGGAGTGTCTTCAAGCAACGGTATTCACACTCTCTAAGCAGCTCCCTACTTAGACTGCCTGCACCCAGGTACAGTTTTTGCTTGATGAGAGGTTCTGCTGCTTATACTGATGGAAGACTATTGCTTTACTGGATATGAAAGTCCAATGACTCCTGGAATCGAGAGGAGCACTTTCCAGACCTTCCTAAAGGGCATGTTTGGCTTCCTGGTTCTCTGGCTGAGTGTCTGGTCTAATAGTGCTTGCTAGAATGGGTGGTACCGGGGAACTAAGGGCTTGGGTGCCCAGACACACTGGATCTGGAACATCCTCCTTCAAGGATATGCTCAAAGTTGCATAGTGAAGTCAACATCTGAATTTGAAGCAGTCTTTCCTATAACCTGTAATTCACTGATACACAAGATGCCTGGAGTCAATGTTTGTAACGAGCCAATTTATTCTAAAACTTATTTTTCAAAGTTTTCCATGTGGTATCAGCTGTTTGAAACAGCGAACTTGGGGAGTAACTGTTGCACTTGAGGAGACTTAGTAACGGACTGAACGGAGCAGACTGATAATATACATCACAGACTCCCCCATAGTTGGTTTAACCCTGGGAATGGAAGACGGGACTAAACACCATAGTTTGTTTTCCCATGTGTGTGCTGAACCGAGATTCTGAAGATGCGACTGCAGAGAACAGGGTGAGGAAGAAGAAGCTGTTCCCTGGAGGACAGAAACAACACTCAGGGGATGATGAAGACCGTGAAGGAACTACCCTGCCCTGGGATGAATGGCCCTGGTTGACTGCCAAAAGCAGTCAGATCAGGAAAACAGTTTTTGAGGAAACAGCCAAGGGTGACTCAGAATGTCTAGATTGGTGTGTCTAGACAACTATTAGTCTCACTTCAGAGTCTAACACAAGTCCTTGAGAGAAGACTGGCCAGGAATATTCTAAAAGGAAAATCCTAAAGCAGACAAAAGCAGACCTGAACTCTTTTCAGTTTTTATCTTGGTATCTGGAACATAAAGAGGGACAGACAGAATGCCTTCTATCTTGGCATATATCAGAAAGTCACTGCATATGTTCATACACACACACACACACACACACACACACACACACACACACACACACACGCTCAGCCACCAATTTTAGGTCTTCTTTCTTATTATGTACAAGTGAGAACATCTGATAAAAACAGAATACATAACGTTGACAGTGAGACTGACCTTATCCTGATAAAACAAGGCACTGTCTAAGGTCTTCTCCAGAATGGTGGCCACAGCAACACGTACTTCTCTCACACTGCACTCCAACAAGAAAACCCTAAAATAAAGAGAAACACGTTACAAAGAAGGACACAAGTGTGCAACCCTAACCTGCCCTACACACTTCTAATAGCCATGTAGTAAAATGACTCAGAGGTACTAGTTCAAGTATCCTGAGACCTTCCAGGCTCAGTCATAGCAACTACAGCTTCCCCAGGTCATTCCAAATGCTGTAAATGAGACATGGCAACCAGACAGATGGGTTCTGCTGCAAGTCCCCCAAGACAGTAACTCAAATACTGAAAAGACAATAGATCCCCACACAACATTTGCACCAAGGCTTAGCCAGATGCATAAGTTCTTGAGGAATCCTGTATACCTCCTGGTGTAACACTAAAAAAAAACAAAAAACAAAAACAACCCATAAAAGTAGATCTAGAATCAGGGAGGTCTAGTGGGCAAGTGGAGACAGGGGATGTAAGCATTGAAGGTTAACAGTCACAAGAGACACATACTAAAGTCATGCTTGAACTTTGTAGGACATGGATCTGTACAAACGTTATGGCCAGACTACATTCTGAGATATTTGGGGGGTGGGGGGTGGGGAGACTTAGTGGAGTATAAGAAAATATGAAGGAATTCTTAATTTTGTTTGGTTTGAAAATGTTAGGGTGCTTATGCTGGGAAAAGCTAAACTCCTTTACTTGATAGAGACACATGTTGAAAAATCAGAGAATTCTGTGTCTGAATTAGCTCTAAAACAGAAGGAAAAACAATTCCATGCATGGAGACTGTGACGTGTAAGAGAAAGCTTTGCAAGATACTTCTGGCTACCTTGATGTCTGTTTATAAATGTCTACAATAAAAAGTCCTTAAAGAATATAAGTATTCTTTATGTTAGTGGTTTATGGTTTTTTAGGTCAACCTGCAAACATTCACTATTACAAAACCCACACAGACCTACATCAAAAACCTGCGTAAAGAAAGAAGTAGCATGGGGTGCTGATGTGAAAAAGGCCATCATCATTTTCATATTTCGGTTACAGAGATATCTGTATAGGCTATCTATCTATCCTCACTCCAAAATGTAGTAAAACCTGAAATCTGTGAGTGACTATGTAATGTCACTATTGGAAAATTCTACATCATCAAACTGTTAAGCATACAAAAAAAATGAACAATATTGCATAGAATTACCTTCAGATTATGTTTACATAAAACAAAGTGAATAAATGTTTACATTTGTGTTCCATTCTAAGACACACCACTACAAATGCAAATATCCCTCAATTCAAAGAATTTCCAACACAGTCTGGTCCCAAGCATTTCAGAAAAGGGATAGTCACCTTACGCATGCTCTCTTCTTTCTCTCTGTTCTGTGTGCATTAGTGAGGACACATTTTTAATCAGAGCAATGATAAACTATCTTGAAGGCTCTCTGGGCTGAGGAGATAGCTTAGTAAAGTGCTTGCCCTGCAAACATGAGTTCAAGCCTCAGAATCCCTAGAAGGGTTTTTAAAAGCCAGGCACTGTAATAACACTTAATTCCAGTGCTAGGATTACGGCGTGGAGACAGGTGGACTCAGTCTTAAAGAAAGGTGAGCGCCTCTGCTCCCGAGTATGCTTCCTGCCTCCAGACACAAGGGCAGCCAGGTGCACCCACCCACCCACACATACATATGCAAAATAAATATCCTGGAGGTTCTAAAGAAAGAACTAGATAAAAACCGATTAATTTTTGTTTTATGTGTATGGATGTTTTGCCTGCACAAACATACACCACACACATGCCTGGTGCCTTAGGAGGCCAGAGGAGGGCAATGGACCCTGGCTCTGGAGTTACAGACGGCTGTGAGCTGCCGTGTGGGTCCTCTGGAAGAGCAGCCAGTGCTCTAACCATTGAGCATTTCTGCAGCACCTGTTATTAATCTCGGAAAAGTCACAGCAACTATAAGTAATTAGACCTTATAGAAAAGATCATGTAATTCACTGGGATGCTTGACAACAGGAACACTAACAACTACTACCAAAGGAAGACAATTTCTCAGGAGACAATCAAAATCAAGTCTCCCTTTGTATAAATAAGGCGCTGAATGAAATATTTTCTATGCACTTTACAAATGTATAATCATTCTTTGGCACAGTTCTTGGGAGACCTACTGGGAAAATATTTTCAAGCTGAATTAGAAAACTGGGTAAAAGGCTCTCTTTACCGCACACTTTAAAGGGGCAGTACATAACTCTTCCAAGAGATGTATATATAGTCTGTCTTCATGAGCTGGATGCATATGCACGGTGTGTGTGAACAAACAGTTGAGTACACGTTATATGGCAGGCCTGCTGTGTGCAGCAGGGAACAAGCAGACTGGATTCTGTCCTTAAGAAGCAAGCTCAACTAGACACACACACAAAACTCTAAGGAGTACACAGAGCAACAGGGCAGGTCTGCAGCAGTCTCTGAGTATGTGTGAGCGGACACATACTCAGGAGCAAAAGGCAAATCCTATGCCCAGAGCAGAGGGAACCGTGTTCCGGACAGGAGTATCAGGAATAGGGGCTTGCGGCAGGTAAAAACCCTCAGCACGTTCAATGAGCCAGTAAGTCAGGCTGGCTGAGAGGTGACCAAGAGCAAGCCTGGAAGTACAAGTGAAGACTGAGCAAAGCTTGTGGATTTTGCTGTAGTGCGAGGCGGATCTACTACAGACCTTTCAGGAAGGAGTAGGCTTGGGATACAGCTCAGTGGCAGTGTTCACCCACATGTGTGATGCCCTTGGTTTTATCCCAGTAACACAAAAAAATAAAATAAAAATCCAATTAAATTTCTAACTTATCACCAGACTGTGCTCCCTTAGTAGAGAGGGACCTGCATTTCTCACTTTCCTGCTGTGAATCTGTTTTAACAGAGGAAATACCAGAACACACACATCTGTATGCCGACAGAAGTGACCCAATGGAGGAAGTCTCCCAGGTAAAGACAAGGAGCAGGAAAAGTTAACTGCAAGGCCAAGTTCCTTGGGAAGGCTTGCAGATGCAGATTCATTTGGAGAGGAGAGGATGCCTTATAACCTGGAGATGGAAGACTAGAGCAGGTGTGTGGCATGTGTGATAAGTGACCATTTATTAATCACTTTCTCAGTGACACCCAAGGCTAGGCTAGTAGTCAGAAGTGGGGTGATCTCACGAGAAGTTTAGAGCCAAATCAGAGGGAAGAAGAGCCTTCTGGGGCCAAGGAGACAGGATAAGTTCTCATTAACACTGGGCTCCTCATATAACGATGAACTCGTCAAGGATAAGGAAAGTTGACTGAATAAGCTCAGCTGGGAGTAAGAGGAAAACAATAAAAGTGATTGGAGATTCTAGATTTTTATCTGAAAAGGTACATTCTTTTTCTACTCACAGGTACATAGGCAATGTACTATCATAGCTAACTTTTTTGGGGGGCCAGAATCTAAGCACAGATAGTGTACAGTAATAGGGCTGTAATAGTTACCTCGGATTCCCTATTTACTTGTTACCAGACTGAGTACCTGAGGAAAAGGACTTGCATGCTTCTCCTGAGCCAGAGCAAGGATTAAGGGTTTGCACTCTGTGAACACCTGGCAGCCATCACCTTACACCCTCCCTGCAGTCACTGAACCCCTTGCCAGCATCTAGTCCAAAAGATGAGTTTGGAGTGGTCTAATTTCCTTACTACTTCTGTGAAAAGCTTAAAATGGACTTTAATCTGAAAAAACGATTTCAAGTTGAAATGTAATGGGTTTTAAGAAGCTTTACTTCTAAATGATAGGAAAGAACACAAATTTCTTTTAATTAAGAGATTTTGACACTTACTTTACCAATTCCCGTCCTTCAGAGCTAATAAAATACTCAACAAGCCACTGACAAGCATCCAAACTCTTTGAAAGTAACGCTTCAATAGTAGCAATCCATTCTTCAGTATCAACCCTTTTAAAAGAGCGAAGAGCAATGTTAGGCCCAGCAAGTGACCCCAGTGCGTCGTTTCATAGTGTGTCACGCCTGTCCACCTTATTCCACTGTGGACAGGAACCAAGGGTAGATGAAATATTCAGTGACTACCCACTTAAATGACTCAGTGTCTCCATGTTAGGTTATTCATGGTATAACTCCTTCTCCCCCACAGGACAAAACCATGTGCAGGTGCCTACATCTTTTGACTTCTCTTTATCAGTCCACGTCAACTGATGAACACCAGATCTGTAACATTTTGTCTGGCACAACTAAGCCAGTGTCAACAAGGTCTCACCTTTAGAATAGCTTTTGTCTTGTATTGCTAAAATCATTAATATGCTGAAGCATAATAATGTTTCAAGATTGGGACAGAGAAAAGGTGGCCTGACTATATTACCCATAATCTCACACCACTCCCGAGACCCCAGTGACCCCCAAACACTACAGACAAAATGGAAACAGTACATATAGCATGTAGATACCATGAATACATTTCACAAATGAAAGTAGCAACTGAATTTCTCTACTCAATCCTATGCAGACCTTAAAGGACAAATACATGTTCTCCTTTTTAACATCACATAATATTGTTATCACTCAATGTACTTTTGGTTGTTACATATAAAATGAGGCTCCCATTATTAATTATTTTTCTTCAAGAGTCTGGCTGAAAAATCTTTCCCCACACCCAGACTTGATAAGCATACTTACTTTGCTAGCCAGAGCTCCACTGTCTTCTAACTTTAGCCAGCTGCAACTCAAGTCTCCTCTTTCTCCAGGTATTTTCCTACAAACTATCCCTCAGCTCTCTTTCTCTTTCAGTCACATATGAGGGCCAATAATTACTAACCCAGAATCTATAATGATCCAGGCACCTTATCAGGTGTTGGAGATAAAAGCCAGTAATGAAAAAGATGCTAACGATATTGATACCCGGAGCTCGTAACATCACTGAAAGTCCTGCTGCAAACTCTTCCATGAACTGCTACTGACCAAAGCCCACACTTCCTAGTCTGGCACCTAGTGATTGGTCTTAACTGAGCCCTGCTGTGGAATGTCATTCTGCATCCTGTGAATGTGTGTTGCTCTGATTGGTTGATAAATAAAATGCTGATTGGCCAGTAGCCACACAGGCAGTATAGGCAGGATAAGCGGACAAGGAGAATTCTGGTTAGAGGAAGGCTGAGTCAGGAGTTGCCAGCCAGACACAGAGGAAGCAATGTGACAAGGCAGAACTGAGAAAAGGTACCAAGCCACGTGGCTAAACATAGATAAGAATTATGGGTTAATTTAAGTGTAAGAGCTAGGCAGTAATAAGCCTGAGCATTTAATGGCCAAGCAGTTATAAATAATATTAAGCCTCTGTGTGATTATTTTATAAAAGGCTGCGGGACTATGGGTGAGAGATTTGTCCTGACTGCAGGGCCCAGGCAGGACCAGAGAAATCTCCCAACTACAGAGCTCCTTACAAGTAAATATACAACTTTCAGAAAAATACAGCTAACTAGTCACACATGGGTGCCTTAAGCAAATCCTGTTTGCTACTCTAGATTCTTCCCTTCTGCCTAGGATGATGCCTTCTCTATTTGTTCTTTTTAAAATACGCTGATGGCACTGACAGATATGGTTCTGCCCAGTTTTCAAAGACATGGAATTTATGTCTCGTAGCGCAGCAATTTCTTCATCAACCCTTCTCATCAAACCTTTCTGAAAGACAGAGGCTATGTCTTGTAAGCTGGGCACATCAGATAGTACTGAAATATTTTGAATTTATAAAGTTATTTTTCCATCGAATTAACCAGTGTTTTCTGTAACAGACTCGTAAAACATTATTCTTACCTGAGTTTTTTCTTTGTTCGTAGGTAAGTTTGGAAAAGGAACTGAATGGCAAGCTGCAAACTCACCTTTGCCATGCAAGGATAATATGGGTGCTTTAGTTTAGTCTACGAGAGGGAGGACAAGAGGATATTTTTCACAAGTCTTACAGATCATTACATATTTATACAGACCTAATCTTAGCACACAGGAAGTAAAAGCAGAAAGGTAAGTAGTTCAAAGCCATCCTCAACTACATGGAAGTCCTTGGAGATAGTCTGGACTACATGAAACCCTGTCTCAAACAAACAAACAAACAAACAAACAAACAAACAAACAAACAAAGCCTAGCCAGCTAGTAATAGTAAACACTCATTTATAGTTTTTAAAAAAGTTAGGCTATCTTCATTTTTAAATGAAGCCCTCTCAGAATAGTCTTTGCCCTTTTTGGCAAATTATAACAATAGTACTTTAGACAAGGAAGTACTGGAAAGTTAATTTTGAGTCTGACACTATATGACTACAGATTAGGAAAAGTTAATCCATAAAGCATAGGAGCAACTGATAAGACCCTCAGCCACTCAACCTCACAGTTCCTCAAATTTGTCACAAAATCTAAAAATTCAGTATGTGGAACCCATACCACTCATAATCCACACTGCACAGCCCCAAAGCTGCCTGCATGTTAGTGTTACCCAGTAACATATTTATAGGAAATGGGGTTTTGCATGTAGCTGAATGCTAATACCTGAAATAAAAGCATCATTTTTTTTAGTTCTTTAGTTATAACCAGCTACTTACGGCATTCAATGATGCTAAAGACAAAACAAAACTGAAATAGTCACTACTGTACACGTCTCTATTCTTCATAAACTTGAGGTTTTCATCTCTCACCATCTACAAAACAAAATCAGTGATTATTTTTAATGAACAGCTAAAATAATATGTGGAGGGTTATTTTACCAAAATGTTTAGGTAATAAGGGCTTGTAAAAAACAAATTATAATTTATAATTATCTTTTTTCAAGCTTTGAGTTTTGTAAAATGAGAGAGAGACATCTTCCTTTAAATCTAAGGCACTGTAGAAAGGTAAGTTATCACTTCTTCTAATCTCCTTTGGGGAACTCAGCAGGCTGTGTGAAGAGTCAAACAGAACTCCCTAAGCACAAGCATCTCCATACCTCCCCGGCTCAGGCGGCTCAGCTCTTCCTTCTGAAGAAGACTGCACATTTTCCTTATATTCTCTGGCTCTGCCTGTCTAGCTTGGGCTGTCTAGTGTATAAGGTCTGGATCTGACAAATGGATTGGTTCTGATATCAAACCCTTGTCTTGTGAGATTGCAGGCCATTTCCTTTTTTTAATCAGCCTTGTTTTGCTCCATTTGAAAAACAGGAGTAAGACTGCCTACAATTCTACAAGAGATTTAGAAAGTTTAATAAATTCATAAAAACCTCTTTAGCCAGGTATGGTGGTGCATGTCTTTAATCTCAGTACTTGGGAGGTAGAGGTGGGTGGATCTCTGTGAATCTGAGGCTAGCTTGATCTATACAGTGAATTCTAGGCCACCATGGCTACATAGTTGAGAACCTGTCTCAAACAACCAAACCAAACTATAACTTGTTTATGGTCTGTAGCACAGAGCAAGTATTCAGTAAACAATGGCCATCACTTTCAGCTTAGTCTTAACTGACGGTTCTGAGTCTTGACTTGTTCTCTTAGATAAAATAATTTCAACACTGTTTCTCTACTCAGGGATGGTGCTGGTGATCTTGAGTGTATGTTCGTTTTTTGTGTTCTCACACTGCGGCACTATCTCTACAGTCTCTCTCTGTGTTATAGAAGACACAGGACAGTTGGGGATGAAGAAGTGGCACATGAAGACCATAAATAGAGAAGACAGCCAGAAGTACTCTGGACTTGCAACATGGATTCTGACATTCATTTTGATTTTCTTCCTTAGGGAATTACGTACCCACCCTCCACCCAAAGATTGGTTTATTTTCATTTTGTGTGTCAGTATTTTGCCTCCATTTATGTATGTACACCATCTGTGCCTGGTTCTGAGAGGTAGAGAGGGTATTGAATACCTAGAACTGGAGTTACAACTGGCTGTGAGCTACCTACCACTGGCTGTGAGTTACCAGGTAGGTGCTGGGAATTGAACCCAGATCCTCTACAAGAGCAGTTAAGTGCTCTTACCAGCTGAACCACTGCTCTATCCCTGTTTACGTGGTTCTCACCTGGTATATCCGAGCAGGCATTTTCTCCACAAACAGTCCTTTCTTCTCACCTTTTTTAACCAGCTTCGTTAGAATAGAAAGCCTGTCATTATTAGGCCTATGGGGCCGAGGAGAGGATTGAGGCGAAATCTCAGGTGAAGATGGAGCTGACCTGAGAGAGAGAATCGAAGAACTGTTGGGCATAAAGGGGTTTGTTTCAGCAGTCTTTAAAGCTGCCACATTTATATACTGGGTACTGTACTTAAACATAAACTGCAAACTTTTCTGATCCAATATAGCAAAGGCAAATTCACTAAGAATAAGACCGTTAAAAAACAAAACAACAAAACAAACCCATTTTTCTGGTTATAGTATTATGGTTTGGGCAGAAAGTGCATTTAGTATGTGTATATATACACCTCAATTCTAAATTGAAAATAAATCTCAATTCTGTCATGAATAATTTATATGCATATTTCTAAATACAAAATAACTTCATGCCAGGGCAATAAAGTCTTAGAGCAAGAAAGAAGAGGTTTCTTATTTTCTTTTAGAATTCCTCTTAAGTTTAGCTAATTATTTTTAAGCATTGAGCATTTATTATGAAGATCCTATCAATACCTACTGAAACCACACAGCAAGTTCCATGGCAGAGAACTTACAGAGAGAGATCCTCAGCCTCTTGTCTTACAACGCTGACTCGACTTTTCTTTGGCAATACAGGGGAGTTTTGATCAGACACCCTTTGGTAGAAGAGCATGTAGGCATTCCAGTATCTTCGACGTACATCAGTGTATGGGTTTGCTATTTTGCAAGACATTAAGAGAGAAGTCTTGGTAAATAACATGTTTCTTAGCATGATTATAATAAAGGAACTACAAATTCAACAATTTATTTAGTAAATTTGCAGAGAGCAAAGTGTAAGTAAAACATGGGTGTGTTAGAGTGTTGCCTAGAAGGCAAGTTAAGGTACTTTCCTTGGGGCGTGAGGATGGAGGGAAAGCATCTTTAACATACTGCATAATAAATAATGTTTAGGTCGGGCAGGTGTGGCCCACACCTTTAATCCCAGCACTCAGGAGGCAGAGCCAGGTGGATCTCTATGAGTTCGAGGACAGCTTGGTCTACAGAGTGAGATCCAGGACAGGCACTAAAACTACACAGAGAAACCCTGTCTTGAAAAAACAAACAGACAAACAAACAAAAACTTTTGGAAAGCACAGGTGTTAGAACCGTCTTCTGTAATTATACAGAGTAATTATACCTCTGTGTAAATCAAATAGAAATAGACAATTTTAGTGGCCAACTAGTTCTAATTGAAATTCCTTATTCATTAGTTTTCCCTAATGTTATTTCATTCACTTGATTTGTTAATTCCCATTCTTTTTAGACATTTTTTTCCCTCCAAGGGCTTGAGTATATCACATTGGCTATCAAAAAAGTGGTCCAGCCGGGCAGCGGTGGCGCACACCTTAAATCCCAGCAGGTGAGGGGAAGGGCAGAGTCAGGCGGATCTCTGTGAGTTCAAGGCCAGCCTGGTTTACAGAGCGAGATCCAGGACAGGCTCCAACTACACAGAGAAACCCTGCCTCCAAAAAACAACAACAACAACAAAAAGTTCTCCAATGCAGAGTGGTCAGCCTTGAAACCATATACAGAGCACCAATAAAAACAAACTCAGCAGGTTGTATTGATATATATTTGCACTCAAACATAGACATACACACACATATATAACAATCATAAAGAAAAAGAGGTTATCAGCTTGAGTGTGGAGGGGCATGGGAGGGGTTGGAGGGAGGAGAGAGAGGGGGAAATGTAATGCAATTCTATTTAGGAAAAAAATTAAAAAAATAGAAGGTAACAAAATAGTTGTGGCCCTATCACTGGAAGAACACAAAGGAAAAGAACAAAATCTGTTGTTTTTTATATAAGGAATATAGCTTCTAACTTGATAGAAAGCTATGTATTAAAAAATAATATGAATGGAAAGTATCTACTTATAAATACTTACTTTGATCATAAACTTTCGGTCTATATTCTCCTCCAAAGCATTCATACTCCAGGGTCTCATCATTTAGGTCAAATTCTTCTATAACGGTGTCATTAAATTTATACCACTTTCCTTTTCCACACCCCCTAGGACCAGAGATCAGATAAACACTATAAGATTTAAAAACAATTATCTTCATCCCTTGCATTTATCAATATGTACTATGTATAGATAAAGCAGATGATGGCTACTTAAAAGCATCCAGGAAAATGTAGCAACAGAGGTGTAGTGATTTCAGTTTCTAAAACTTTTCAAATCAAAGGAGTGAAAATAGTTCTCCTAAGTTTAAAAAATTGGAAATGCAGAACAAAGGGTAATGTGAGTTCCTACAGCTGGGCATCATGATACCCACCTACAATCCCAGCACTTGGGAGGCAGAAGCAGGACTGAGGATGAGGCCAGCCTGGGCTATAAACCCTGCCTTCCCCTCTACCCTCCCCAGAAGTCCTCCAGTGGTGGGTGGATGGCAGAGTCAGCAGGGGAAGTGGAGATCACACGAGGCCTTGTGGAAGAGACCTTACCGCCTGTCCTTGATGAAGGAATAGTAATGGCCTGCATGTGCCTGCCCACTGTGTACAATGACACCAACAAGCTCGTAGTTTTCTGTGAGGGCAACTTTTTTCCGTGGGGATCCTCCACCTCCTTGATCCATATTTCTCCCATTTTCACCAACTTCGGAAGATGAGTCCTGGCGGGCCATTCCCGAGACTGTGTAAGGCTCCATATTGAGCATCCAGGGAAACTACGTAACAGTCAAAAGAACACGTTAATGCTAAGTGGGAACATACTTGGCAGTACCTAGTCAAGTCAGACAAAGTAAGAGTCGTGCTCTCCAAAACGAGGGCTGCCTCCTGCCCCATTCACACATGGCGTCTCTGACAGGCCTGTGTGTCACAGAAGCATTTCATTTCACAGCCATGGTTAGGGTGCCTTCAGAAACAAAGGCACCATTTGTCGGTCTGCCTGTCCTGTGAGCGGCAGCTTTTCAAACAAGGGCTGCAGACTCTTCATGTTGCTTTTTCTGGGACAGACAGGATGTAGGAAAGAAGGAAAGGAAAGAGGGAAGGGGGGGTCATGGTTAAGAGAAATTTCAGGAACAGAAAGAAGTTACCCGTATTTGTTCATCGTATTTAATGGATCGTCCACTCTCCCAGTCAAAGCCAAATCTCATCAGGTGAATTACCAACACACTAGGTAAAGACTTAATGCATGTTCTTTTCACTGTTATTCTCTAAGAAAAAGCAAAAACCAATTAACTCCCTGGAGAAAATCAAAGTAATGAATGTAAAAGCTTTTGGTACCCACATAAAACAAATAATGGCACAATCTATTGGAAGCAGCAACCAGAGCTTAATAATGACCTGTATGCAGTAACAAGTAACACTAATATTGTTTCTTGTAGAGGGCAAATGTGATACCTTTTCTTTACACTTCTCACAGTAGTATGCATTACTTCCTTCTAAAACTTCACCTCTAACAAACTGGTCCAAAGAGATTTCCAAGCTTTGGCAAGAAGTAACTCCTAGATTGAGAGCCATGAAAGCTTCCTCACGCTCATATCTGGTTGGGAAAAGACAGAACCCATGAATGGAGAACCACTGCGATCGTCATAATACCTGAACTTCGACACCCTCCTCAACAGCCAGGGGAATTAGACAAGCCTGAGCATTTTAAAAGCACACTGACCAAAACATGATTTTCAACAAATACTTTAAGGCTACAGAGTAATTATGGAATATAATTCATTGAACATTTATAGATCCAGTAAGAAATCAATCTACAAGTCAGCAATAAGTTAACATTTATAACTTTCTAAAATATCATTTAAAGATATTTTCCCCCAGGGTGCTGACATCAAAACCAGGGTCCTGTACCTGTCAGACAAATGCTGTACCCCTGAGCTACACCCCTATTCCTAACAGTCATTGTTTAATGTAGCAGTGACATCTTCACTAACCTGTGAGGACAATCTTTACAGATCTTCTGATCAGAATAGATGCCCTGGAAAGTATTCTTAAAAATTTGTTCTCGTCCCATTTTCTGTCAGAAAAAAAATTTAAAGTTTTAACTGATACCCCTAGAATGTACAAGTTGGTTCAGATAACATTTTATTTAAAAATTTCAACTTAGCCATCAAAATATAAAGAGTAATACTGGTGGTTTCAGTTAGAAACTAGAGGAAGGCTAATAAGCTATCATTGGCCCCAGTGTCAGACCATGCAAACGATCAGAAGAGGAAAAGAGAGAAGGGTCCATGAGAGCTGATCATGACAAGTCTTCCATTTATGAGTCTGAATTTTCTTTCTGTGCTTTAAGTTGCAAGGCAGCAGCAACTCTGACAATTTTTGCTTTTTTCTCAAGGACAGATACTATATATCTGTAAGTTATTTTAAACACATGAAGTGTAATAATTGTGCTTATTGATAAGATGTACAGTGGCACCTCTAGGCAAGTCTGTCACATGTTTTATTGGGAAAGGCAGAAAGCTTTGAATGTAAGCATCACCACAAATAATAGTCTATCTAGTCCTTTTGTCCTTTTGCTAGAGAAGTCTCCCAGTCCCCAGAACTGACTCCAGGGGACCATCAATTCATTGGGCACTCTGCAGCCAGACTATACCTCTAGGGACATTGCAAAAATACACAAGCACGAATGGTCATTTTCTCTGTAGTATAGATTAGGAACTACACTGCTCTATCAGCTTAGATAAATAAAGAATACTTCTCCAATAATATGGATGCATTAATTGTAAATGCTGAAAGTCTGACCTGCAGCTGCGATGCTCAAGATGACTACTTCCTGGTTTGTGAGTTTCAGTCACTGTAAACCTTCAGGCATCGTTCCTACACTGTAACTAGCTGAAGGAGTCAGAGGGCAATGGAGACTGTCATTACCTTGAGATACTCATCCATCTGATCAATAAGACTGGTGAAGAACTCATATGCATCCTGCTGCTCCCTCACATAGAGCTCCTTGTTCCACATCTTGAAGATCTGTGTAGCAAGAATTGAATAGCTCTTTCAAGGGAAAGCAGCATGCTCTCAACAAAACACACAGGATCACATAAATGCTTTTGAAAAACGAGGCAGCTATTAGGATCAGGGTGTTTTTACTGGAGTGAGACAGGCTTGTATTCTGCTATCTGTGCATTTTCTTGGTCCTTCATATCACAGCAAGTTTCTGAAAGCAGACGTGGGTTCAGGGTGAGCCCCTGGACTACACAACAGCAAGGGTCTCTCTTACAAGGGGCCTCTGCTCTGTGAGGCAAAGTACAGCAGCGTCCTTTATTTGGAGGCACTAGCGATACCGGCACAGGCTCAGAGAGAGATGATCTGAATCATCATTTTTAGATGCATTTTCATTATTATTTTAAATTATGTGTCATGTATCAATGTCTGTCAGCTCCCCCGCAGCTAGAGATGACAGGTGGTTGTGAGCTGCCTGGTGTGGGTGCTGGGAACAAACCTGTGTTTCTGCAAAAGCAGTGTAACTGCCGAGCCACAGTATTTTAAAGAGCTAAAATAAGAATCATAAGGAACAGTCAAAACAGATAAGCAGGTCCCCAGGAATTATGAATGACTGTTCCTAATGTCCTAATTATTTGAAAGTAACAATTTGTTGGACATTCAGATCTTTGATGGGCTGTTAGTGATGACAGAAAACCATTATCACTAGAGAAGAAAGCGGAGCCAAACTCTAATTATTATCCAACCTCACATCTACAGTTACTATAAATACCTTCCAGAAGTTCTCAGGCACATAATACTGCAGCTTGCTTTCCATCAAATGTCCAAAGAGGGACTGTACTTGGTAAAATACACTGTCATCTGGATTGTCTGTATCATCATCCACTGAAAGAAGTGACTATGAAGAAAAGCATTATTAAGCGAGACACTTTTAACTGCTTCCCACTAACCCCACACACGCACACATGAGTACCCACGCTGGGGTTTAAGTATGCCAAGGAGTGTCTGATGTGGAGACAGCACAGTACAGATATTTAGATATTAGTTTGTCATTTCCTACTTGCTGTGATCAAGGATATAGTATCTCTTTAAGTTCCATTTTATTAGGAAAAACTGGAGCTAATGAGGATTTTTAGACACAAATGCTACATGATAATTATGGAATATTCTCAAAATACTGCCTGTTATCCCACAAGTTGTGACTATGTTAATAAGAAGCACTGAAAATAGTCACATATTCTAGAATATCAAGTGCAACTTTATAGAAGGGTTGAGACTTCTGTATGTACAAAAATTACATTTGTTCAAATAACCAATTAAAATAACATTTTTACAAAAATGTGGCTGTAACGTCTTCACCAATTCCAGAAGCTAATGAATTTTTAACCACAGCTACAAACCCAAGAAACAATAACGAAGCATGGGACAATCTGCAGACAATCTACACATTCTCTGATGACAACCGGGACAGGGAAGGAGGTCACCTCAGGGAGTCCGGGCTGCATGTACAGTTGCTGGAAGACTGCGTTCATGTAACAAGTGGCACCACCGTTCCTCAGTCCCACAAACCCTGAACTGGATCTGCTGTCCACGGGGGGAAGGTACTGGAAAGACAGGAACACAAGAGAGGGAGGAGAATGAGCGCTCTACCACAGCACACGTCCACACAGCCACTTCGAATGACTGGCAGAGAAACAACACACTCAGGTTTATCCATCCAGCAGGGAGGAAACCGAACCAACAGAACCTACGTTCGTTCCTCAAGTACCTGTGTTAGGTGCTGCGGTGACAAAACGCAATGGTCTTAAGGTTTCTCTTCTGGTCACAAAACATGTGGCACAAAGCAGGGATTAGCTCATCTATGTAGACCTGCACTCATTCACTTACCATTCAACAAGTGTTTATTAAGGACCTAGTATGTGCCAGGCACTGTGCCAGAGATTAAGAGAGAACAGAAATGTTCATGGGCCCTGATCTCCAAGAGCTTACAATCCCGTTGTGTAAGCTTTATGGCACTAATCAAGCAGATACATTAGATGCCGCCTACAAACAATGGATGCTGTTTTCTGAATAAAGGAACAATGTTCTAGGAAGTATTTATCATGAGGAACTCTGGAGTCAAGGAAGGCTTGTGTCCTCTTTACACAAGGCAATGTTCTATTCAACTTTTTCTAGTAAGCATACAATTCAAATGACAGAAAAGCATGGCATTGCGTTACTTACAAATGTTATCAAATAATGCAGATCCTAACACAGTGCTTTTCTGGGTAGAAATAATCCAGATAAGGCATCTTGGCTAATGTTCAACACAGCACCTCTCCAAGTGGGCAAGGACAGTACAGTGGAAATGTGAGTGCCCCAGGAGCTTGGCTCTCTTACCACAACCACACACCAGTGTCTGTATCCATGTAATAAGTGAACAGCTGACAAAAACAGGTAGGTATTTTGGACCTCAAAGCATTACTGGATCTCACACGCTTCTCATTAACATCAGAAGTAACTGACAGCAAGGTGCTTTCTAGGAGCTAACACCCACTTACATTTGTAGTGCAAAGCACAGATTTTTTTTTTAAGTGCTAAAAAGTTAAGTATGTATCTACAAATGCTTTACTTCTTGTGCTGGTATCACCCCTGACTTGAGGCTAAAGCATATCACAAAATAAGCATCACAAACTAAAGCATGAGAAGTGAGCTTTTCCCCAATTCAGAGCTCACATAGAGCTCTACTCCTCACTGGTGTTCTTTCCTCTCTCTAGGACAACTGTCCCCACTGTTCTAACTTGTGTATTCAGGGACACTCAACTCTCACATCCAAAGAGTGAGTCTGACTTTGCATTATGGAAGAGGAGAAAGCAAACCCAGCTTTGACAGTGTCTTCCGGTGCACCTGCAACTTGTCTGCTTTCTGTACATCCTCATCTACAGGAAGAGGCCCCACAGCTTCCCTCACATTCTTCTCCTTGCTGGAATGAAATGAATGGCTTCCTTCTTGCTTCAGTGAGCACCACTAGTCTTTAAGGCTCTATTTCAAGTTTCATCTTCTCTAGAAGCATTTTTTCTTTTGGTTTGGTTTTTTTGAGACAGGGTTTCTCTGTGTAGTTTTGGTGCCTGTCCTGGATCTCACGCTTTAGACCAGGCTGGTCTTGAACTCACAGAGATCCTCCTGGCTCTGCTTCCCCAGTGCTGGGATTAAAGGCGTGGGCCACCACCGCCCCGGCTCTCTAGAAACATTTTCAGATAGCCGATGAAGTGCTACTCTGTGTGAGCAGAGCACTCAGGCCACGTCTCCACCCTACCCCGTATCTCACAGTGCTGACAATCTGCTGGTGGCCTGTCGCCTCCACTGCCCATGCTCTGGATGCCTGACAGACAGCTGGGGGAGTGCGTTCACTTTTCAACTTCCAAAGTCTAAAACCTTCCTCAACATGTGGTAACTCTACGAATTTTATTCAATCTATCTGGCTCTGTAATTCAAGTGCCTGGCACTATGCCAGCATAAATTTACTCAAAAAAAAAAAAACAAAAACAAAAATATAAAATTCAAATAACAAAAATGGTTGGAATGCTACTTTTTAGTTGAGGTTAATTATTGGTCAGTTTGAAAATGGCTCAACTCTAACTGAAAGGATATTTCATAATAATATAATGATGAAATATGATAAAATTTTAGTTGATTTTAATATGTAAACATGCCATTCCAAAAAAAAAAAAAAGATTGACTTGGTTGTGGTAGGATAATACAAATTCAGTCTTAAGCTTATATATATTTAGGGGCTAGAGAAATGTCTCAGTGGGTAAAGGCACTTTTCAGACTTATAAAGTCTGAAAACCTGAGTTTAACCCCGAGGTCCCACATGGTCGTAGACGGTGGGAACCAACTCCTGTAACTTGTCCTAGCCTCCATACATGCTCCTTGTCATGCACATACCTGCCAAAAAAGTAAATATAAGTTATATGTTGAGGAGACCATTCTAAAAAAGTTAAATGAAGGCTGGGCAATGGTTTAGTTGGTAAAGTGAAGACGGGAGTTGGGTCCCCAGAGCAAGCTGGCTAACTAGTCTAATCAGCTCTGGATGCAAGTGACGCTTTGCTTCAGCAAAACAAGCGGACAATGACAGAAACACCAAGATCAACCTCCAGCCTCCACTTACAGGACTATACAAAGGAAGCACATCTTTAGTCTAAAAACTTACGTCAAACTCTTTGGTGAGAGCAGGGTCAGGCTGATGGTGCATTGACAGCAGTTCTTTTGTAATAATCTGAAGATTTGAAGGTGAGCTGTCGGCTAACATCACAAGAACCTCATAGGCCGCCAAGCGGCTGTTCACTGTACTACACCTAAGAACAAAAGCACAAGCCATAAAAATAACATCTGAAATCAAAATGCAGGCAAAACAATCCCTTAAACAGTTAAGTTAGGCCTATGCCAGAAATCTAGTCATCTATGTGCTCTAAATAAGGCAGCAGGAAGTCGTTTTAGATCTATTATCTTCTTAGTCTGACAATAATCAGCAAAATTCTCTCAAATAAGAAAAAGGAAGCTATGAAAAGAAGAATAGATGTCCATAAACATTTCAAATATGCCCGATGGTCAATAATTCTCCAATGACACTAATCAGCTTTCTACTGTTACAGAAAATGGAGACAGAAATAGTTTGTCAAATCAACTTATGAAAGTGACATGCAGGAAAGCAGACTTCCTCTGTTGCTTGCCTTTCAACCTGGGCAGTAATTCTGAACTATAATCAACACCGACACCACATCACTGAAGCGATCACAGATTAGAATGGATACACAGAAAAGAGGACATCCAACCTTTGCCTGGGACCACTATAAAAGTGCAGGAGGGGATTCTGGGACTCTGGGGTTAGTACTGCACCTGACACCAAGGACAAGGGCCACAGAGCTGGCACTGTCCTTTAATTGTTGTCTAGATGCATGGATTGAAAAGGATGGGCAAGAAATGAACAGGGAGGCACTACCTAGACACACACACACACACACACACACACACACACACACACACACACACACGTAAAAGCAGTGACAAAAGAACACATTTACTTTCAGAAAGAGTTTTCACGTATTTTTTGCTTCAAGGTTTTGGTGGAAAGGTCACTGTAATGAATGAACAAGTTTAGGACACTGGGGGAAGCTGAAACATGTCTGCTTTTCAATTCCAGGCATTATACACAATTTTATTACTTTTAATAAAAAAGAAGGATTCACTAATATAACTGTTCATTAAAACTGTTAGATATATATTGTTTCATGTTTACTGAAAAACAAAATACTAATAATTTCTGGGGCTTTAATTAGAGTCCCAGGGACTTAGTGCTAAATACTCCAAGACACACCAGACAGGATGAGGATGGAAGCCACAGCCCTAAGGACAGTCCCAGAGCTCTACTAGTTCCCTCTCCCTGCCTTCTGTCCATTCTGCTAATAAGGAGCTCTCTAGCTACAAGTGTTCTTCTGACAAGAGTCCCACGACACTTGATGGGACTCTACAGAGTGCTTACTATACCCTGCCTGTACCAGCCATCTCTGAAATTAAGAGCCTCTTCAGGGTTAGTCAGGTAACTCTGCTCTTTAGAAAATTAAGTTCAGCTCGGAGCAAGCTAAGTGGCAGCTTATTGCTGCCTTTTCTATGGACAAAAGTCTAAATATCATTGGAGCAGGGTCAACAAAACACATGGATATTTCACATTTATATCCCCAAGGATTAATATAAAACCTTGATTCCAAAATCACAACTGTAATAAATTACTAGCAGTTGCAGATATGAGAACATAGTATGACCCAGCAAACGACAAGGCTCTAGACCTTTCTCCTAAAAAATCCTGAAGCCTACACTTGGAGTCTGTTTACTTGGTGCTCAGGCTTGAACTCAAGATCCCTCACATGGCTAAATGTGTGCTTGACCACTGAGCTACCCCCCTCCCCATGCAGAATTCCTACCCCCTTTGTTTCACCTGGCATTTGTCACTCAGATCAGCACACAGTTACTTCCTATCCCACCTTGAGGACGAGAACTTACCAGCACACTTCTCTGTGCTCACTGTGGGCCAGGCACACTTCATACACAGCTCATTTACATGCATTTGTTTAAGGGATAGGAAACACAGGACAAACAAACTCACACAATGGAAGACAAACTCCAAGTTAAGAACATCTCGGACTACAGTTGTGAATTAAGAGATTTTACCAAAACTGAACACAACGTGCACTTTCCATACTTTGGATGAAAGTCCTGTTGACTGATGGCGGCACTGCCAGCTGGAGAATGACTATTTAAAATAATTCTAGAAGCTCGGAAAAGGAAGTCATCTAACAACGGTTTAATGAGTGACGAACCTGGAACAGAGCAGAACACCACGTTGAAGACGAACACAGATTTTAATTCAAAGATCCGATAGCACTTTCTTATCAGAGTGGCAGAGGCTCCCGAGGCCACCCAACACCAATGCATCTGGTTTAAGTTAAAGCTTACGTTTCTGAGTGCTTACTCTGTGGTACAGATCTGTGTAATGGTGGGACTGGGAACAAAGTAAAAAGTATCAGGTGACATGCCTTGCCTTAGGAGTCTATGACAATGAAAGGAGTCAAGTGCCAAGACCACCACAAACAGAATGGTTTGAGCGAGCAATTCTTAGCTCTAGGCATCAGGAAGTCCTCCACACAGAGTTAATGAAACTTTTAAGACTGTCTCCTTCAGACAAAATGATACTCCTTCTTCCTAGTTAAGGAGCACTCTTTTCTATGTATCTTCAATATCCAAAAAGATTCTATGGAGTCTAGTTGGTGCTGTAGCTGTGGAAGTTATATTCCAGTTTGTTTTCTGAATATAATTTATAACATTTGGATATATATTTTCAAATTATAACTGAACTTCAGGGGAAATCTTAACATTTTCCCAACACTGAGGAGGTAATGGCTGGGGAGTACCTCCTCAGATAAGAATCATCCTTATAGGAATGAAGATATATTGTAAAATATGTAATAGCAAAAGAGATAAACCTACTCTGATTTATAACTTTTACTTGATATTAAAAGTTATGTGACATGACTATTTTGAACAATGTACAATTCTCAGTGTGGTTTATTGTCACAGGGAGAAGACACCCTATGGTTTGCAGTCACTAAAACTGCAGACAATCTCCTACTCCTAACAGGTCAGTTTTTCATGGGACATTCAGCAATTATCATATTGTCCCAATTACACACAACACTGGCAGTCACTGAGAACGAAGGTACTCTCTCCCCACAATACAATGAAGCAACAATTACCAAGCATTTCCTTTTCTGCTCCACAGAGTGAAAGCAGGGTCTTGATGAGCCGCAAGTGTCCTGCCAATAAGATGTTGTCTGCCTCACTGGTCTCACATTCCGCTGTTCGGTTAGGTTCAAAGTTATCCAGCCATGTAATCTCATCTTCAAGCATGGTGGCTGGGCTGATTCGTAACTGCTCCATTTCTGAAGCTGAGAAGAGGGTAAAAGTGAGGAGGTGGAAATCTATTACAAAGAAAAACTTTTATTCATGGACTCAAAGTCCTGAAGAAAGAAGCGAAGTCAAGTCCTAATCTTCCCACCACGGAACTCACAAACCTTGTCATTAATAATCTTCTGGTGCAGATACTATCAAGGCTGTGTTCTGCATAAACTAAACACTTGATTGTATCCTCTGTGCGGACCACCATGCTACACATTATGAGACAATGGAGATAATCACTGCTCTAACAAAGCACCTGGTTTAGGAAATAAGACTTCCTCAGAAAAGGGAGGAATGGCCAGTAATTAGGACTAAGGTTCTCCACAGTGCTTCCTAAACCAAAGAGGCAGATATACGAAAGAGAAAGATCAAGCATTATAATCCTACATCTCTAAACTATGACCAAAACTCCAAGGAATAATTTTGTTTTTGTAGCAAATCTCTCTTTTACCCTGCCAAACAAGAACTGACAACCAAATTCTGTACTGGAACCACGGCTGAAAAGTACCTATTAGGTTAGGTAGTTTTATGGACACGGTCCCATTCTCTACATATAAACACCTTATATTTGAGTCATGACACACAGTCCAGCTATGTTTCTCCAGTCTCCAACAAATCAATCTCATCACACTGCTTGGAGACCGAGTGCTCATCTGAAAGCCACGAAAGCACCTGCTTGCCGAGCTGTGGCTGAGGTGCACCAGTCACCGGACACCAGAGCTTTGTGACCGTTTGCAGGAAGAAAGATTTCGGCATGCAATTTCTTTAGAATGAAGTGCTGGAAAGAAAATTTCCTTCTTTGGAGAAACCATTCTGTTCCTTTTTCTAGGGCACAGAGAACCGTGTGCTGTCTCCTTTAGCTCTCCAGGGACCTCATCACCAAATTCTGAGTGGGGCTGTACAACTTGTATATACAGAGAGGCTGTTTATTTCACCTGGTGTTGATGTTCTACTCCAATTAACATTTTTGTTGACCCTAAATTATATTACTTGTAATCTGAAGTGAATCTGGGGGTAAAGAGTAGGGAATATATTAAACACTTGGTCCGAACATCTAAAATTTACAGAGGACATCTGCATTATTTATAATACATTTACATTGTTTGAAAGTAGAGATAGGTAAAATCTCCATTCTAAAAGGCAAGTTCTAACACTGCTACTTCAGGCACTGACTGACCTCTGTCACTACCAACATGCTTCAACCAATTCCCCAGCTCTTAAACAACCACCCTACTGTCAGAATAGGGGCTGCAGAGGTGCTCAGTGGTTAAAACCACTGACTGCTCTTCCAGAGGACCTAAGTTCAGTTCCCAGTGTCGATGTCAGGTAGCTTACAACAGCCAGTTAACTCTAGTTTTAGGGGAATCCAATACCCTCTTCTGGCTTCTACAGGCACTCATACACACATGCATTCATTCACACAACACACACACGTACACAAAGTAAAAATAAATCATGGCAGAATAAATAACACCAGAGAGTAAGACCCTTCATGTTAATTCTCTCAGTTCAATTACAAATGAGACTGGCAACTATGGAGTTAACAAATCTTCTCTGTACACTGGTTGGGTATGTAAGAGAAGCAGAGCTCAATGGTACATAGATTTCCATGCTATAAAAATGACCGTCTTCCTGCTTTGTGACAGGAAGGTCAGGTACAGTCTACCCCGGCCCCATCCCAGTGAGTGTGTACTTACTTGTCAGGTCATCTAGTAACTGGCACCGCAAATCAAAATACTCCATGCACTGAGACAGCAGTCTACAAACCAGACAGATTCCAGTTACTGAAAAGAGGCCGATTTAAAAGAAAGCATTTGTCTTTTCAAAGTAAGTCCACAAAGCAGTTGAACAAGGTAATTTTCCTAACCATACAATTACTTACATTAAATACCTATTTTAGCATGAAAGAAAGAATTTTGCTAAACTGTAGTCTAGGAATAATTGTGTAAAGAGAAGGGAAGTTACTAAATGTATCATGTTTTAAAATAACATAAACACTGATTTCATTTGTTCATTCAAATGTGAACCATTATCTACCACTTAAATGTTAAATGCACAGAGCTATTTTAAGAAACACCGAATTAAAAAAAAAGCAAGAAAGACTGATAACAATTAAATATCAAACAAGCACAAAGAAGAAGAATAAAACAGAGTAAGAAGAGGAAGAGACAGAAATTATATAGACTCTTCAAGGTACTTCTACAACTCTATCATAGTGGGTAGGGGTACAGGCTCTAGAGTCAGACTGTATTACAGTGGGTAGAGGCACAGGCTCTAGAGTCAGACTGTATTACAGTGGGTAGGGGCACAGGCTCTAGAACCAGA